TACTAAATTTTGTTCAATATAACAAATATTTTCTGAGACATCAAGAACCTGCTCTGAACCGCTCCTCTTTTCTTAATATTCCAGGCCCAGCACTAACAGCCGTACTACAGCAAGCAGTGCCCCAGCCAGTTGGCTCTTCCCAGCACACATCTTAGAGCTCTTGCATCCAATTCCAAAGCTTTTCTCGCACATCTCAGTGTCTGTCTCAATGACATCCCACTTCTCAGTATTTAGTCAGCTAAGGCTCCTTACAGCAAAAATATCACTGGCTGGGCAGGTTGAACCACGGAGACTTATCTTTTCACAGTTTTAGAGGCTGGAGATCATGGTCAAAATGAGAGCAAATTTGGGCTCCTTGAGGGGACTTTCTGACTTATAAACACATACTTTGCTATGGCCTTAAATGAATGGCTATTGCGGATTTGTATCCAGAGAGGGTTCTTGTGTTCCTCTCATAAGGGCAATAATCCTGAAAGATCACAGCCACAACCTTGGGATCTTCTTTAACTTTTATTACTTTTCTTAGAGGCCCAATCTTCAAAAACCATCACACAGTAGATTTGGGCTTCAAGATATGCATTTTTGGAGGACACAAATATTTAACCCTTTAGGAAAAAAGTAATCCCTCAGTGAGAACAGAAAAAAAAGGTACAATTTTGTTTAATAATTGTATACATCAGTCCTGAGTATCCAAAATCATTAGCAGTCTCAAGGTACTCCTGATTTTAACATGCTAATAGATGCTGTAGTCCTAAGTTCTAGGTCCCAGGTCACACCTAGTGATGTCATGGTGTGTCTATATTTATCCATCTGGGATTAACATGAAGCAGAGGAGCCTGTTCAGTTCAAATGACCATGGAGGCCAGGGCTGACTTGGGCAGAAACTTGAGGACAGCCAGAAGTGTGTGGGAAGGTGTGTTAGGCTGAGAACAAAACGAATCAGCAAAAGGTCCCAGATTCCATCCCAGGTGAGCATGGGCCATAGGGAGGAGGAAACAACAGCAGTAGCAGAAGAGAAGCCATGAAAAATCTCTAGATTTTTATGAGAGATGAAGCCAGGCCTCTCTGCCTCTTTTTCTTATTTGTTTTGGTTTTTAGGATCACCTCCTCTCCCTTGAGTGCCTTGCCTGGTAAGTCTTCCTGGGTCTTGTCCTGGTGACAGCAAGGAGTTCCTGGGGAAGCTTGGGACAAGTCAACTTATGATATTTCTAGACTGTAATAATGGGACCAGGGTTTCTCAGAATTTTCTGGTTGATCCTCAGTGCTAAGTATCCAAGGATCCAGCCTAACGTAAGCATGGGATACAACTCTTCTCCCTGCCCTGTAATAGGACAAGACTGTTTCTTCTAAACACTCCCTATTTTTTTCTTCACCAAAATTTCCCCTTTTGTGGATAGAAAAACTTATAAAAGTGGAAAATCCCAGCCCTGACCATTACCCACAGAAGATGGTGGAAGTAAAGATCTATGAAAGCATGCGACCTCATTACACAGAGACCAGATGAACAAAACTAAAATAGTTCACTGTCTTTTAACCCATTAAAGGCAACTCTAAATGTTCCAAACAGATTCTCATGTCACTGTCTCCCTCTGAATTTGGAGTTTCCAGTTCATGTCCTTTTCAGGGGTGATCTTTCATGACAATTTTAATGAAATTAACTCATTCATTTGGGTCAATGAACATAAACTAAAATCTGATTTTTGTAGATTCATTTTTTTCTATTCACATAGTTATAAATGAATCCAGGAAAAATTTTAGAATTTTTTTCTCTATGTACAGCTTAAAGGGAGTCACAAAATTCAGAATCCTTGGTAAAACATGTGTAGTACAGAAATTTAAAAGGTTGTTATCTTGCCCCCAGAAGCCACAACACTCTCAGGAAGTCTGTGGGCCCTGAGAATTCACTTCATTTCAGCACAGTGGAATCCTCAGGTTTCAGTGATGTGGGAAGACCAACCACAAGATATGCTGCATTCACAACTCAGAACTTTGAATATGACGGCAAGACGGACAAACTGCTTCACTTCTAAGTTAACAACTAAGCATTTATACAAACTGTTGGACAGTCTTTGGAATAGGCCAGAAACATCAGGAGCAAATCTCCTGGCCAACAAGCCCTGGCCTGGCTGGGTTCATCTAGACCTGTCCAGAGAAGAAGCAACCTGGCCTTGTTTCCTGATCTAGTTAGCTTTACCTGTCAATTTGACACAGCCTAGAGTCATCTAAAAGGAAAACCTCAATTATCATATCGGCCAGTGGGCATATCTGTGAGGGACTATCGTAATTAATTATATAGAAAGGGCTAGTCCACTGTAGCACCATCACCAGGTTGATGATCCTTAAGTGTGTACTAGCTGAGTACAGGCCAATCTTCAAGCCAGCCTTTGAGTAGCAACCTCCACGATTCCTACCATGCTTCTTTGGTTGTAAAATGAGTTCCTTGGTTGAAGGTAATGTTATGTGGAAGAGAAAGTGGGCCTGCCTTCAAATTCCTGCCTTAAGTTCCTGCCTAGGCTTCCCTCAACAACAGACTGTGACCTGGAATTATAAACTGAAAACATCCTCTCCTGTCCTAAGTTACTTTGGTCAGGATATTTTATCACAGCAAAAGAACGAAACTAGACCACTCTTCATCTCCGTACCAAGGTCAAGTGTATGTGTGAGTGCTGTGTCAAAGCAAGGATAGAAAACAAAGCCATTTTCAGTTCTGGACAGAGTCTTTCTACTCAGGGCAGCAGCCCCAGTCTGATCTGAGTTGTCTAGACATGGGGGCTGCCTTTGAGGTTTGCTAACAATGCTCATGGGAGCATGGGAAATGACTTAGTCACACTTCTCACTTTTAGGAACGTTGTGGAAACCAAAGTCAGAAGCGTCAATTCCATCCTAGCTTCCCACACCCATACAAGATCAGGATGACACAGCATGTTTTGAAAGATTTTCTCAACTTCTTCCCACCCTAATGCCTTGGAAAAACACTCAAACATCAGAGGCAAACTGAATGCAGCATCATTAGAACTAAGAGTTGCCAGTAGGCAGCTCTAATCTGGAGCCCCAAAGTAGACAGGGGTTCTATGGGAGAGAACCCTAGAGTGGAGGGAAATTTGTAAAAGCAATATATTTGTGTGTAAAAATAGAAACTCTAGATAATAGAATGAAAATGTGTTGTCATAGTTCCACTGTGGTATGGTATTCAAGAAGGCTGGGACTAGCCAGGACTCAGGGGTGCCTGTGGAAGACCTTAGGAAAGGGTATCAAGATGATCAGGCACTATACAAAATTTCCACTTGGCATCCTCCTTATGCTGGAAGCAAAACTTATCCAGGGCTCTGGGAATGTGCTGAGGATAGCAGGACCCTATGCTGGAAACACCACACATGCCAAGGAAGGTCTCTCTTACTAACAGGACACTGAAGGTAGAGCTATCAGAGTCTAGAAATACTGCCTATTCCATCAGAACTTGTAACCGTGAAACTAACCTGAAAAGTCAGCAGCTGGAAACCAAACTATTTAGATTTCAACCCTCCTTAAATTTGTTACTTTTGACTGCCATATAATGCAGAAGCTGGGGGAGCATCACCCCCACATTCCAACAAAGGAAGTTTTTCAATCCTATCTATGTCTTCAAGAACTATGTAGTCTTCAGTCCTTCAGATACCCAAGATTCCAAGGAAACCAAAACCTGAATATCTAAGGAAACGAGATGATGTGGAAGAACATGGGTATAATTCTCAATGCAGACCAATGGTAGAAACCATGTTGAACACAGAGAAGGGCTCTGTCTCTGACCACCCACCCCAGTCCTTCACAGGCACCTTTCCCTACTCTTCTTCCGTGGAACAAAGCCACAGTGTGCCAGGAAGTCCGGAGCCCTTCTATCCTTGAGGATTCAGTACAGCTAGTAGAAAATGCAAAATATCTCTAAACCACGGTGGATTTGAGTTTCAGGATGTAGGGCGCCCCTGGACTCCCAGAAGACAGGGCTTCACACGTTGTAAAGAGCAGAAAGACTTTGCTAGAGCTTGGTGGCAGGAGATCAGTCAGGCAGCCAGAGCATACAAAGTTATTCCTGAGCCACCTTGTGGTATCCAAGGTGAAAACAAGGTTAACTGTGGACACTAGACCTCCTGCCTGTGGCTGATGCATGATTAATAAAAACTCAGAGGCAGAAATTAGGGTTCAGCCTAAAGACCTGAAAAACAAAGCAGCCTTACTTCGACCTGAAAATGGTGACATGCCTTCAGGAAACCTCAGAATGAGACTGTGCCTGAGAACTGTTTCCTCTGTTTTATAATTCTCTCTAGTTCTGGGATTAAGGGCATGCACCAATACAACCTGGTTTCTATGACAAAATAGTGTGGCTACTGAGATTAAAGATGTGTGTCATTATTGTATGGTCTGTAAGGCTGGCCAGTGTGGCTATTTTACTTTTTTGATTGTCAGGGAAGCATCATTTATTAAAATACAAATGAAAGCCACTACATATGGAAGTTATACTCTCAGAATAGATCTCCTTACTCTCTGGATCCCCTCCCTCAGAGCTGTTCTGTTCTGGGGCATGACTCCCTTATTCCTTGAAGCCCCCATCTTCAGAGTTGTCCTGGATCTGGTCACTTAGAGAACCTAGGGTCATACTAGTAAAATGTGTAGAAACCCTGAAGCAAGTGTGTTACTGTTGACCTAGAGCCAGAGGAATCCCACAAATGAGTCAGCCCACAACCAAGGATCTTCCCACCTAGATGCATGGGCAGGGAGGGTTACATGGTGGTATAACACATTATTCACGCATCTCATCACAGCTAGGCCCAAGTTGGATCTATCTGGATTCAGGTGGACCCAGGTAAGATCCAACCGAGCTCAGGGGAAACCCAGCTGGACCAGGGGGACCCAGAATAGATCTAACAATGCACAAGTGTAACCTAACTGAACTCAAGTGAACTCAGATGGCACAAGTGAGATTTAGTCAGTCTTAGATAGAGACAATGTCCACATGAGAGTCCTACCTTGGAAGAAGCTCTTCACCCTGAGGTAACTAACGCTGAGGCGCAGGACGGAAAGCTTGTCCAGCTTGGAGATGATATCAGGTGGAAATGGCAGCAGGCTGGCCAGGTGGTCCAGCTCTGTATTGAGGCGGTCCCGGTGACGTTTGGAAGGATTTGATTTCTCAGCCCCCATGGTAAGCCTCCTGTGGGAAGAGGGCCTTAGTCATATAGGTTCCTACCAGGAGCCAATGGCCCCACATGCAAGAAACCCTTCTCTGTGGTGACCTTGCTGGGAAAATTGAAGTTGTTTCCCAGACAGAATTAGAGATCATTCCTGAAGATATGTTGTTCTCATTGGTTTAATAAAGATCTAAATGGTCAATAGCTAGGCAGGAAGAGGTTAGGCAGGACTTGAGGACAAAGAGAGAGAGTTCTCTCATATGAAGAAGGTCGGAGTTGCCAGCTAGACACAGAGGAAGGAGGATGTATACAAGATGAAGTAACATGCCATGAGCAGCAAGTAAACTAATAGAAATGGATTGTTATGAGAGCTAGTTAGAAAAGCCTAAGATATTGTCGAGCATTTATAACTAATAATAAATCTCTATGTAGTTATTTGGAAGTTGACTGGCAGGACAGAATATTCAGCCTACACTTCTTGAAGATGCATATCAAGAAACTGAAAAAACACACCAGTTAGCTACAACCTGATATTTTGGAGGGATGTATGAAAAGTCTCAGGCAAGCATGAAGGGCATACTAGCTGGTTACTAGTTGTGTGGCTCTGTTGCATTTCTCAGCACCTCTGTGTCAGGTTTCCTGAGAAGGGTGGCTACCTGGCTACGGCTGTCTGGGAAAAAAATGTGCCTGGAAAAATATACTTTTATTTAGCCTCCTTCAAAGTCTCACATCACCCAGCCCAAACTTAATATATGACAGGAAAAATATAAGTTTTCATGCTAGAATGGTGACAGTTTCCTGACCCCATTAGTAATCCAAACAGTTCTTAATCTTTTTGGTTCCCAGGACAAAGAATTTCAGTTCAAAATTCAGGCCTGGTAGTCCAAATGCCTAGAAGAGGACTCCAGGACCTGCCAGACATCACAGAAAAAAAATCTCAGAGTCAAAGTTCTCAGAGCCTGAGCATCTGGAGGACCAAGAGGGCATTTGTCCACCACTTCGTATAGCTCAGGAAACCTGCTCACTCATAGATAGACTGACCTGGCTTCAACTGCCTGCCTGGAGAGAGGGCCTTCACCATCCCTGCACCTCATTTTTTAGGACTCCCTCATCTGAACCTCTTAACTGTGGCACAAAATAAACCTTCCTGATTATTCACTATCAGTATCACCCACAGTATGTATCTAGAAGAGACCACAGCAGTCAGAGTGGATCCAATGTTGGAAAGGACAGGAGAGGAAAAAAAGACCCATTATTGGCAGAACTACAAAAATCAGCCATATGAATCAGCAGCCCAACACTTTCTGGCTTAGATTTGAGGCCTCTCTGGTTTTGAGGAGTTGTCCAATGGCCCAAAAGCCCCAGTTTTTAAATAATGTCTGGCATCAACAAACTCAGGAGCTGTTACTTTTTAAAAGTGACATCTAACTAACATAACATAATCAGCCATTTAAAAGTGAGCGATCTTTTCATTGCTAGTCACGACACTGCACATTGCTTCTTGACCTAAAGATTTTCATTGTCCGAAGGGAAGTACCTTCCTCATGGGCATTTTCTCCTAAACTCCTTACTTTGGCACTGAAAACTTCTGGCCTATTTTCTACCCTTGTGGACTGACCTGTTATGGATATTTCATCTGAATGTATGGACACATGAATAATGGTGCACCCAACTGCCTATACAAAATAGGATGCTTTCATGACTCATTTACATTATAATGTGTGTATTTGCTTCTTCATTCTTTTTTATGACTAAGTAATATTAAAGCATATAAATGAACCACATTTTGTTGATTTTTCAACAATTAACAAATCAGGTGGTTTTCCATTTATGATCATTGTAAATATAGGGGCTCTGAGCATTCACTCAGAAGACTTTGCTTGAACATGTGGGGCCAGCATTGCTGGATCTGTGTAATTTCATGCTTAATATTTTGAGGATATGCCAGGCTGTATTCTACACATCTGTACCATTTCACAGGCTCACCAATTTCTCCACATAGTTGTCTACACTTGTTCAGGTCCATTTTATTATAGTCCGTGGATATGAGGTAGTATTTCCTTGTGGCTCTGATTTGCACTTCCCTGATGATTTATCATGCTGTGAATCTTCTCTTCTGCTTGTTTACTTATATATCTTCTTTGAGAAATGGTTATCCAGCCCTTTAGCATTTTTTAATTGGGTTGCCCTTTAGTTTTGAGTTGTAAGAGTTTTGTATGTATATTAGACCTTCATCTGGTAGAGGATTTGTAAATACTTTTTCTTCTATGGCTGTCCTTAGTTATCTGTCTATTTTAAATTGTCAGACAAAACTGAAATAGACTGGTACAGAAGGCCTAGCACAAGCTGACAAGGAGTTCACTACGTGAATGACAGATACCTGAGGACTCCCCACAAAACAAAGGGGACACCTGGTAGGCAGATAGAGGTGGGGCTAGAAAATGGAAGAGAGCCATGGAAGTGCTGAGTAGTGGGAGGAAGACAGCAAAACAGCAAAACTGGGGTGGACTGAGACATGTATAGGCACTTGGAAGAGATATTTAGGGCCCAAAGCAGTGTCTCTGCATGGGTGATTGGTCTACATGGAGTTGTTGTTCAGAGATCAGGTCTGTCTTCTTTACCATAGCCCTGGGACCACCCAAGGACTTACTCAGCCTCAGGCATGTGTCTCCCCATTCTTGCTACCCAACTCCAGTTACATCAGTGTACTGGGAAGTCCTTAGCTGAGTAGGGGCTCCCATGCCATAAGCCCAACTTAGTCCTAACTTCTAAATCTAAGGTAGAGGTGTCCTTGCCTCTCCATGCAGGGTGGTGCCTACACTAGCTCTAGCCCTGACCGCCAGGTCTTTCCATACAAAGAACACGAAGGGTGCTGCCTGCAGCAAACTTGTACTTGGTTCCTTGCACTCCAAACCTCTCTCTCAGGCTCAGGGTGGGGCATTGTCCAGAAAAGGAGTAGTTGTTCCAAATCACAGTACATGTTGCTTTCCTCCTCTGGCTCTCAGGACACCAAGAAACACCTCACTGTTATCTATACTCTACACTCTACTTCTCAATAATATCATCTTCATGAAGCAGGTGCTACCCCAAGAAAGGGTAAATAATCAGGGACAGTCCATCTAGAAAGCAAGCAGTCCTCTGGGCTTGTGGTGAGTTCAAATCCAGGGCAAATGTAGAGGCCAGATAGAAAGCTCACAGACTCCAGAGGAAATAAGCAGCAAGAAGTGATGAGTAGTAGCCATTATGGGACTAACAAGAGACCTGGCACTAGAGAAATTCCCAGGAATCCACAAGAATGACCCCAGTTAAGACCCTAAGCAATATAGGAGAGGGTGCCCAAACCGGCCTTGCTTTGTAGTCAGTTTGATGAATATCTTAAATGTCACCATAGAACCTTCATCCAGCAACTGATGGAAACAGAGGCAGAGATACGCAGCGGAGCAGTGGGCTGAGCTCCCAAAGTCCAGTTGAAGAGTGGGAGAAGTGTGAATATGAGCAAAGAGGTCAAGACCATGATGGGGACACCCACTGAAACAGTTTACCTGAGCTAATGGGAGCTCACCAACTCTAGTCAGACAAGGAAGGAACCAGCATAAGTCCAAACTAGACCCTTGGAATGTGGATGACAGTTGATGGCTAGGGCAGACTGCAGGACCACTGGCAGAGGCACCAGGACTTACCCCCCTACTGCTTGTGCTGCCTTTTAGGGAACCTGTTCTCTTCGGATGAATACCTTGCTCAGCCTAGATATAGTAGGGATGGTCTTGGACCTTCCCCAAAGCAATGTGCCTTACCCTCTCTGGGGAGTGGGTTGGGGTGGGGTACAGTATAGGTGGAGGAAATAGGAGGAGGGGAGGGAGTAGGAACTGGGATTGGTATGTAAAATGAAAAAAGTTTGTTTTCTTTTAAAAAAAGAAAAATGAAATAAATTTTAAAAAGAATATATAGACACTCACACACACAATAAAATTGTCTTCATCAAAAGTTCTTTAGATTACTTTTCTTTGAGACAGAGTCTCATTATGTAACCTGGGCTGGTCTCATACTCCTGACCCTGCTTCAGTCTTCCGAGTATAGGAATTATAAGTATACCACTATGTTCAGCTTAAAATGTCTTGTGAAGGTATAGATGTGTGTATTTGTTCATGCATGTGTATTGCATTCTTATAAGCTGGTGTGCATGTCAGAAGAAGACAGAGGTTGACATCAGACTTCTCCACCTTATTTTTTATGACTTAAGTCTCTTGCTAAGCCTGACGCTTGCTGTTTGTGCTAGACTGCCTGGCCAGTAAACCTCTGGGATCTATCTACCTGTTTCCCTGCTTTCAGCTCTGGGGATACAGATGAGTATTTCCATGATCAGAATTTATGCAGGTGCTAGGGAGCTGGAGTCATGTCCTCATGGTTAGCAGAAAGCATTTCACCTGATAAGCCATCTCTCCAGCCTCCAAAATATCCTTTGAAAATCAGTATTAACAAAATGAAAAAGCTATCATAGATTGGAAGAAAATAATCACAAGCACTTGTATCTAAAATATATAAAGAACTCTCATGACATAGTGAGACGATCTAAAATGAAAACAAGCAAGTTATTTGAATGCTTTACCACAGAAGCTGCACAAATGAAAAGCAAGCCCATAAATATACATCCAACATTATTATGCCTTAAGTCAATACAGATCAACCCTGAGAGTCTACGGACTCATGAAAGTGTCTGTACTGAAAACTGGCAATGTAAGTACTGGAGAACATAGAGGGGCCTATGCCCTGTTTCACTGTGACTGGACATAAGAGGATGCAGCGACTTTAGAGAATGGCCTGAAGGTGGGAAAGACTAGCACACTGCTCTGCAGCAACTGCCTCTCTAGGCGTTAACCCAAGAAGAACAGAAGTACCCAGTTCGCAAAGAACTGCTGTGGCATATCCACAGAATCTTTAACAGCCCCCAAAGAGGGAACAATCTAGGTGCCCACCAAACTTGGAATATTCCCACAACAGGGAATAGCTG